AAATGAGTGGTTTCTTGTACTCATTCGATAGAAAAAATGAAGTTCTAGCGAAATTTTTATGATTTTTGTTGACTAGTACACTGGAATTTGCCGAAAATAAGGCTCAAAGTGGGCAAAATCGCCGATGCGTAAACATCGTCGAGACCGCTAACTTCGCGAGAGCATAATTACGTAAGTTTTCCATCAAATTTCATACTTTTGGTGTCATTATGATCAGGAAAAGATTCTCTATCTTTTCAAAAGAAAAAATAATTTTTTTTTTTAAATTTGGCCGACCCTGAGAACAAGTCTCTGAGAGGACCTGCTGACCCCCAAAGGGTTAAGAGTGTAGTAACTGAGTGTAGCATTAAGAGTGTAGCAATTAAGTGTAGCATTAAGAGTGTAGCAATTAAGTGTAGCATTAAGAGTGCAGCAATTGTAAGTCACACTCTGACTTTTTTGGGTTATCCTAGGTTCTCTAAACATGTAGTAAGGAGCAGGAATGGCCGCCGTGGTGTCCCTATAAACACCAACAACAATGGCCGCTGTCAACACCATTAGCCACATATGTAATGACATGTATTTTATTCATTCTACTGTATATATCATGTTTTTATGTTATTAAAATTGTTTATGTCATATTAGAGGAATTGTGATAGATAAATAAGGCACAGAGTTGATATTAGGTAAATTATTGAAGTATTTTGTCATGCCTGGAATTCCACTAGAATGAATTAATTCCATTTCGTTTAATTTAAATCAGGAAAACTGAATCTGCAAACGAGCAAATCCAGATGCGAGCAAGGTCACGGAACGGATTAAACTAGTAAGTAGAGGTTCCACTGTATATTGAACAACCATGGTGACATCACACATCCCTGTCTAAGGCCTACTTTTACTGGGAAATAATCTCCCTCTAGCCTACATACTCTAACCTGAGCCTCACTATCCTCGTAAAAACTTTTCACCACTTTCAATAACCTCTCTCCTGTTCCATACATTTGCAACATCTGCCACATTCCCCCCCCCTCATCCACCCTATCATATGCCTTTTCCAAAGCAATAATAATAATAAGGAATAAGGAATACATGTAACCTTAGCTCCTCACAACACTTTGATGTAACATTCATTCTTATAACACAACGGCCATCTCTCAAACAGAAGTTGGGTGATTCAAAAAAAGAAGAAAAGCTTTCATAAACTATGATGCATTGTTCCAGCTTTCATATACTGAAATACAACAAAACGTCATGAGAAAAAGTATGCCATATCACCCCAAACTTCATGATATTTATGCTTGAAGATCTGGAATTCATTACCAGAACACTTAAGGGCCACTACCTGCAAATTAATTTGAAGGTCCTACTTAGAAATCTCCTCATCACCCCAAATTAAGCTGTACTTAATACCTACCATTTACTCAAAAGCAACACAAAAAGTACCACTGATGTCTCAATTTCAATACTGAATATTGTGCTAAAGACTGCTCAACCTTGTACTCATTACTTCAGAAACTGGATATTCAAATTTCATTGTTTTGAATACTAAATTGTAATACAGTGGAACCTCAAATATCGAACTTTCTTCGGTCCAGAAGGCTGTTCAAGTGCCGCTAACGAACGAATTTATTACCATCAGGAATAAAGTAAATTAGATTAGTCCATTTCAGACCCTCAAAAATACACTTATAAAAGCACTTACAAAAATACACTTACATAATGGATTGAGTTGGGAGCAGTTCGATTTTTGAGGTTCCACTGTACTTCATATTGTAAATTGTTTAAAATGTTCTATTGTAAAATCGTAATGCTTCAAAATTGTAGTGTTCAAATTTCATCGTTTTAACTCATAAATAGTCCAAACGTATACATACATTTTTACCGCTAGTGCCCCAAACGAATAAATACGTTTTATTTATCATACATTCAACATTGCTACGATAAGCCTGAGTCGCCTAGACATAAGAGAATGGGTGTGCGCAGTCACTGTGCATCATATTAACCCTTTCAAGGTCCAAGGTCAAAATCTGAAGTGGTGCCCCGGTGTCCAAGAAATTTTGAAAAAAAAAAAAAAAAAAAAAAAAAAAAAAAAAAAAAAAAAAAATTCCTAACAAAATTAAAGATAATATTTTTGTGAAGGTAATAAAAAAAAATTCTGATCAGTACTAACCGAGATACAGCGGCAGGAAATTGACCCAAAATGACCCAGTGGCAGCAACATCAGTGACTTCCGCAAAATTACATCTTTTTATTTCACGTTTTTTATACTTTTTTCTTTTCTTTTCTAATTTTTTTTCTTTTTCTAGTAACATTTGTGGCCTGTGAGACCAGTATAATGTATATTGTATTAGTGTACACTCATTGTATTCAACACAATAACTGAACTAATTTGCTTATCATTATATTGCTTACAAAACGTGTTTACAAGTTTATTGTAAACAAAATGATGAAAATATTAGTGCGGTTATTGTGTTGAATACAATGGTACCATATAGTACCATATGGTACAATAGTGCCATAGGGTGCAATGATACCATATGGTACAATTGTACCATATGGTACAATCGTACCATATGGTACAATGGCACCATATGGTACAATGGCACCATATGATACAATGGTACCATATGATACAATGGTACCATATGATACAATGGTACCATATGGTAGAATATGGTACAATAGCACCATTTGGTACAATGGTATCATATGATACAAAGGTACCATATGGTGCAATGGTACCATATGGTGCATTGTACCATATGGTGCTATATAGTACTGTTGTATTCAACACAATAAACACACTAATATTTTCATCATTATTTTGTTTACAATAATTGTTTACAACAAAAATATGCAAAAATGTTGTATATTAGTAATGTTCTATTATATATTTACAAATGTACAGGAACTCGACACGTTACTTGAGGTAGATGACAGAGCGCTTTGTCTTGGAAACTGCTGAGTCAGTAGCTAGCTTGCGTCGCCACTCACTCAGTCTTGGCTGGTGCCTGCTGCCACCAACATGTCCTGTTGACCATATGGTACATATCATATGTTACAGGGTACTATATGGTACTTTGTACTATATGGTATAGAGCTTCCTTGTCGCCAGGTATGATGAACAAAGCTACTTTGGCAGTGTTCCCACAATGCCATGCGGGCGTCCAGGTTTTTTCTATAGTGTGCACACTGACCACCCAGACCCATTCTCTCAGATGTAGGCCTACCAGCCTTCTCACGCTAAATTTGATGGCGCTAGAATTTTGGCGTAGATCTACAGTTTGGACCCTTAATGTAAAGCCGTAGATCTACGGGACGGACCCTGAAAGGGTTAAAAATAATTATGTCTTTTTAAAGCACAGCCTCTCCTCACTTAGCGACATACTCATTTACCCACGACTCGGACTTACAATGGGCTGTCTGACCAGTATGTATATCTAAATAATGAATATTAGAGCTGATTTCCTCTATTCTGTTTATTACATTATACAGTACACTACTGTATAAACATTTACAAATATACCAGAAATGTTATAAATGGCACAAAGGTGACATAAAACAATATCAAAGATGGCTGACACAAACCCACGACCATTATAGTATGCTTCTCACTTAGCGACGAATTCACTTACTGATGTGGTCTTAGGAACGGAACTCCATCGTTAAGTGAGGAGAGGCTGTATTGTCAGTTCAGAGAACTGATAAGTTGATAAATTAGACACATGTACAACACTTGGGTATCTTTATTGTGGAAAGATTATGCCACACAGTGGCTTCATCAGTCCAATATAAAGAAGAAAGGAGAAGATCAGGAGTTTGAGGTAATCAGACCCTTAGCCTGGAGTCGATGTAATTAGTCCATCAATCTTGATAAGAAAACAGCATATGCATGAAGAAGTGTGTTATATACTGCAGACAGGTGAAGTGAAGCAGTTGTAGGCAGTGTCACTCTAGACAAATCCACAGGTGGAAGTAGGTGATACCTATAAGTTTAGGCAAGAATAGAATTCCCTCTATTAAGATCCCAAGATGAGGGACTGATTACCTCAAAATCCTTCTAATCTTCACCATTTGTCTTGGTACTGGACTGATGAAGCCACTGTGAGGCAAAATGTATCCACAATAAAAATATCCAAGGGCTACACATGTGTCTAATTTATTAACATAATGTAACTAGTAATGGGCCAATACCAGATTGTAGATACCAATACTCTATTTTAGGCTGATACCAATAATGAAAAATACCCAATACCCACTGATACTGATGCTCATTTTTAGGCCAATACCATAAAAATAGCTGATGCTGATACTTTGGCACACCTCTAACTGTAACCTAGTGTTACCTAGCATAACAAACACCCATGTTTATTTGCTACCATTCCCACCTATTTTGGCCACTTAATTTTTTCTTCAAAACTTATTGCCAGTTTCAACCTCGGTAGACCGTTATATTACATGGTAGTTACGTTCCTGAAAGAAGAATTTATGGGGAAAATAGGGTTACATTCCTCGGAACCCCCCAAAAAGCTAAACAACTTTTTTTTTATACCTCCAGATCTTATTTATTTATTTTATTTAATAATTTGAACATACATACAGAGGTACAAAAAAATACAGGTAAGAGCAGCATGCCAAAGCCACTTGTATGCATAGCATTATGGGCAGGCTTAAAATTAAGATTAGCTAAGCAATGATGTAATCAGTGATAAAACATTATTGTAAAGAGATAACAATAAAGCACATATGAGTATTACAAAGACAGGTCATATGGTTGCATGCATTGCTGTACATTCAGTAGAATGGAGTATTCTGTTAGGTAGTGTATTTAAAAAATAACAAAGTCAGATTGAGTCTTAGGTTTAACATTTATGTGATATAATTGTGAGAAACATTTAAGATATACAATTTATAAGGTTCAGTTATTCAGTATTTATTTGGTTTTCGGTGAGTAAGTGATGTATTATGTTGTTTTTACTGATTAAGACTACAAATGTAACAGAAATAATAGTATTTCTTACCTTAAATTGTGGGTGCTGGTGTTTGTGGATGATTGTGAAGAGTGTGGAGAGTTATGTTGTGGTCCTACTGGGCTGAGGTGGATGGTAGAGGTTCTAGTACTAAGGTCGATGGTTGTACTGGAGCCTGAATAAATTCTGTAATGGATTTCTGGGATATTTTACCCTGCAGTACATTATACAGCTGACGGTAAGGTATCATCAACAGTTCTAGACACCATTTCAGAGCACTGCTTCTAGATTTGCCAGGGTTCTTTTCAGTGAAAAAGTTTAATTTTAAGTGGGTACGTCAGTAAAGTCAAGTCAGTAAGTCAGTCAGTCAATAAGTCAGTCAATAAATCAGTCAAGTCAGTCAGTTAGTCAGTCAGTCAAGTAAGTCTGTCAATAAGTCAGTCAAATTAGTCAGTCAAGTATGTCAGTAAATCAGTGATATGACATCCTTGTTTACGTGGCAGCGGCAAGGGGCAACAGGAACCTTGTCCTCTATTTTTACTTCTACCTGAGGTTCCCAGCAGCCCAGTGATGGCCTAATCAAAACCCACATAACACTAACATGTGTGGATACCCAGAATGATATAAATCAACTACAGAAATCACCCAAAAGTATGCAAATTACCAACTAATAGGACTCGTATTACCACCTCTTGCCCCGCTGCCACTGAAGTGATACCCAATAACATTCACCCATCACCCATCGCCTACTATTCATCCAAAGCTGCAGTCAATGGACAAGGGTCAGAGCAATAAAAGAAGATCCAGTAACCAGCTAAGGACTCCTAACATCAAAGGTGAGACCAGTAATATCACGAGGAAAACTTCTCGTACTGCCAGCCAGGACACGACTCTCATCACCCACCTTCATCACCACAACACACGACAGACAACAGCAAACATGGCCGCCACCACAGTCCAAGATAACGCCTTCCTTGGATTTGATGTTAAGAAGATTACCGACCCAGAAATAGCTAAACTCCTTACGATTCAGAACCAAACAATCACCAAACTAACTCAGGAAATGCAGGAACTAAAAGCTTCCAATGCACAGTACCTCAGCAAGATCACTGCTCTAGAACATAAACTAGACACTCTGGAACAACAAAGCAACACCCACACCCAGTCCGTAGACACCATCAACACTCTAAGAGACCAAGTCACCCTACTTACTACCAACATTATAGAGGAAAGATCAAGAGTGGACCAACAATGTCATCACCAACTTCCAATACCATAATGACCAACAACAGCCATCTGACGCTGTTGTAGTTAACAGCAAACATCCTCCACCCAAGAGATTTGCATGGAGTCCACCCCACGGCTTATCAAGGACCACCTTCGCCTTAAAATCTGGAACACCCTACCTGAAAACTCTAGAACTGCAGACACATTCATCACCTTCAAAACTACCGTTAGAAAGCATCTTATCTCCCTGATACACCCCGTCAACTAACTACATAAAAACCACCTGGTGGTTCACACTTACACTCACTCACTCACCCATTTGACTATAAGCACAGAGATACGAATCTTAATCTTAAAATAATGAATCCTACCTAGTCATAAGTTTGCCTGTGATACTCCAATACAGAAACTATGTATTGTGCCAAAACAAAAGCATTCACATTGCTAAACTCACAAACTTGTATTTAGTCACTTAGTATTTAGTCAACTTACTCCATAATTTGTAATAATTTAGGGTTAAGAATTAATCTAAGTTTGACCAAAATGACTAGCCATGCTAGGTGTCCTAGTGGCCCCCTCTGTAATTAGTATTTTATTACATGTAAACCACACAATAACCAAAATCTGTAAACCCTGCATTGTAATCCTTATAGAGAATAAACTTGATTGATTGATTCATTACACAAACTCATATTTTTATTTTTTTTTTATTATCACACCGGCCGATTCCCACCAAGGCAGGGTGGCCCGAAAAAGAAAAACTTTCACCATCATTCACTCCATCACTGTCTTGCCAGAAGGGTGCTTTACACTACAGTTTTTAAACTGCAACATTAACACCCCTCCTTCAGAGTGCAGGCACTGTACTTCCCATCTCCAGGACTCAAGTCCGGCCTGCCGGTTTCCCTGAATCCCTTCATAAATGTTACTTTGCTCACACTCCAACAGCACGTCAAGTATTAAAAACCATTTGTCTCCATTCACTCCTATCAAACACGCTCACGCATGCCTGCTGGAAGTCCAAGCCCCTCGCACACAAAACCTCCTTTACCCCCTCCCTCCAACCCTTCCTAGGCCGACCCCTACCCCGCCTTCCTTCCACTACAGACTGATACACTCTTGAAGTCATTCTGTTTCGCTCCATTCTCTCTACATGTCCGAACCACCTCAACAACCCTTCCTCAGCCTCTGGACAACAGTTTTGGTAATCCCGCACTCCTCCTAACTTCCAAAATACGAATTCTCTGCATTATATTCACACCACACATTGCCCTCAGACATGACATCTCCACTGCCTCCAGCCTTCTCCTCGCTGCAACATTCATCACCCACGCTTCACAACCCATATAAGAGCGTTGGTAAAACTATACTCTCATACATTCCCCTCTTTGCCTCCAAGGACAAAGTTCTTTGTCTCCACAGACTCCTAAGTGCACCACTCACTCTTTTTCCTCATCAATTCTATGATTCACCTCATCTTTCATAGACCCATCCGCTGACACGTCCACTCCCAAATATCTGAATACGTTCACCTCCTCCATACTCTCCCCCTCCAATCTGATATTAAATCTTTCATCACCTAATCTTTTTGTTATCCTCAAAACCCTTACTCTTTCCTGTATTCACCTTTTAATTTTCTTTTGCACACCCTCCAAATTCATCACCATCTCTGCAAACTTCTCTTCGGAAATCTCCCAGAGACAGTATCATCAGCAAAGACAGCTGTGAAACTCCCACTTTGTGTGTGATTCTTTACTTTTAACTCCACGCCTCTTCCCAAAGGGACCCTCGATTTACTTCTTTACAACCCCATCTATAAATATTAAAAACCCGGTGACATCACATCTGTCTAAGGCCCTACTTTTACTGGGAAAAAATTTCCTCTTCTACATACTCTAACTGAGCCTCGCTATCCTCGTAAAAACTCTTCACTGCTTTCAGTAACCTACCTCCTACACCATACACTTGAAAACTCTTCACATTTGCCCCCCTATCCACCCTGTCATACGCCTTTTCCAAATCCATAAATGCCACAAAGACCTCTTTAGCCTTACCCTAAATACTGTTCACTTATATGTTTCACTGTAAACACCTGGTCCACACACCCCCCCCTTTTCCTAAAGCCTCCTTGTTCATCTGCTATCCTATTCTCCGTCTTACTCTTAATTCTTTCAATTATAACTCTACCTACACTTTACCAGGTACACTCAACAGACTTATCCCCTATAATTTTTTGCATTTCTCTTTTATCCCCTTTGCCTTTATACAAAGGAACTATGCATGCTCTCTGCCAATCCCTAGGTACCTTACCCTCTTCCATACATTTATTAAATAATTGCACCAACCACTCCCAAAACTATATCCCACCTGCTTTTACATTTCTATCTTTATCCCATCAATCCCGGCTGCCTTACCCCCTTTCATTTTACCTACTGCCTCACGAACTTCCCCCACACTCACAACTGGCTCTTCCTCACTCCTACAAGATGTTATTCCTCCTTGCCCTTACACGAAATCACAGCTTCCCTATCTTCATAAAACATTTAACAATTCCTCAAAATATTCCTTCCATCTTCCCAAAAACCTCTAACTCTCCATTTAATAACTCTCCTCTCCTATTTTTAACTGACAAATCCATTTGTTCTCTAGGCTTTCTTAACTTGTTAATCTCACTCCAAAACTTTTTCTTATTTTCAAAAAAATTTTTTTGATAACATCTCACCCACTCTCTCATTTGCTCTCTTTTTAAATGCTTCACACTCTCTTAAATTCTCTCTTTTTCTCCAAAATACCCCTTCCCTCCTTGCATCACTTCTACTTTGTAAAAACTTCTATATGCTAATTTTTTCTCCCTTACTACTCTCTTTACTTTCATCATTCACCAATCGCTCCTCTTCCCTCCTGCACCCACTTTCCTTTTAACCACAAACTTCTGCTGAACACTCTAACACTACATTTTTAAACCTACCCCATACCTCTTCGACCCCATTGCCTATGCTCTCATTAGCCCATCTATCCTCCAATAGCTGTTTTTTATCTTACCCTAACTGCCTCCTCTTTTAGTTTATAAACCTTTACCTCTCTCTTCCCTGATGCTTCTATTTCCTTGTATCCCATCTCCCCTTTTAACTCTCAGTTTTGCAAAAACAACTAGAAAGTGATCTGATATATCTGTGGGCCCCTCTATAAACATGTACATCCTGAAGTCTACTCAAAGTCTTTTATCTACCCAATACATAATCCCAACAAACTACTGTCATTTCGCCCTACATCATATCGTGTATACTAATTTATCCTCTTCTTCTTAAAATATGTATTACCTATAACTAAACCCCTTTCTATACAAAGTTCAATCAAAGGGCCCCCCATTATCATTTACACCTGGCACCCCCAAACTTACCTACCAAAACCCTCTCTAAAAGTTTCTCCTACTTTAGCATTCAAGTCCCCTACCAAAATTTTACTCTCTCACTTGGTTCAAAGGCTCCTATACATTCACTTAACATCTCCCCAAAACTTCTCTCTCTCCTCTGCATTCCTCTCTTCTCCAGGTGCTTACACGCTTTTTAAATGACCCACTTCTCGCATCCAACCTTTATTTTTAATCCACATAATTCTGAATTTACACATTCATTTTCTCTTTTCTCCTTCCATAACTGATCATTTAACATTAACTGCTACCCTTCTTTGCTCTAACTCTCTCAGATACTCCAGATTTAATCCCATTTATTTCCCCCCACTGAAAACTCTCCTACCCCCTTCAGCTTTGTTTCGCTTAGGGCCAGGACATCCAACTTCTTTTCATTCATAACATCAGCAATCATCTGTTTCTTGTCATCCGCACTACATCCACGCACATTTAAGCAACCCAGTTTTATAAAGTTTTTCTTCTTCTTTTTTTTAGTAATTGTATACAGGAAAAGGGGGTTATAGCCCATTGCTCCCGGCTTTTTTAGTCG